TATTCCAGCCTTATTCAATAGGCCTCCATAAATTAGGTTTCTACGCAGGGAAGGAACATAAAGCACATTTTGTAATAACAGAATCTTTCCGGAAAAAAGCGTTAACTCTATTTTTCCTCTACCACTTACCTTAGAGATGCTGGAGTTCCCCATAAAGACTTGTTCATCTTCGGTGTTGAGCTCGAGCACCTTGAACAGGTCTTTGTTGTTGCAGAAATGACGAGTCGCTCCCGTGTCCACAACCCACTCATCTGGATCTCCTACCATGTTTGCTTCAGTTATCACTGCTGCTACCATTTGGGTATCTTCTGAATTTTCCACTACGTTCGCTTGATTCTTTTGCCCTTCATCACTCGGTTTTGGACCTGTCTGGTTCGTTGAACCCTTTCGGTGATAACATTGTGCAGCTTTGTGGCCACGTTTCCCACAAACATAACATTCTTTGTTGTTTTTTCCTTTTTTTCTGAACTTTCCCGTTTTTCACACGGTTATTGTTGTTTGGTTTTGAACTCTTCTTTTGGTTTCTGGCACCTTCCCCAAATTTAGACCTGTCAAAACCCCCACCCGATTCAACTATATTAGCTTTAATACTATCAGAAAAATTACCAGATTTTTGAACCAATCGGTTCTCTTCTTCTATATTGATAGTGTTGATTAGCTGCTGCAGAGTCTGATTCTTCAGTTCGTGCTTCGTTTTGTTCTTGAAGTCTAGCCACGAATCGGGCAGCTTATCAACCAATGCGTCAGTCAGAAAGGCATCATTCACCACAACTCCTTCAGATTTCATGTCAGCTACCAGGTTTTCAAAGTCGTGTACCTGTTCAGTAATGGCTTTGTCGTCCGTCATCACGAAGTGCAGCCATCTATTCACAGCATATTTTCACCTTCCAACATCATCAACGCCAAACTTGGCTTTCATTAGCTCCCATATCACTTTGGTAGACTGGTACGGCGAGTATATGTCGAAAAGCGGATTACATACTCGTTGAAGAATTTCTGCCCGTGCTGTTTTATTATCCTTCTCGAATTTTGTTCGAGTTGTCTGTAAAGTTGTAGTTGCCTGAACCTGAGTCGTTTTTTCAGCTGTTGAGTCCGCAGAGGATGCCTGTTTCTCTGTTGCAGCAGTTTTGTCAGTTTGAGCAGGAGCCTGCACCACTGTCTCCGTATTCTTCTCAGAATCCTCAAAGAAGACATAATCTACATCTTTGGATTTCAGAATCATCATCACCTTTCCAACCCATCGCTTGTAGTTCAAACCCCCCGTGAGAGGTTCAACCGGCGTGATGTCAGAGTGAGAATTCGACATTGTTGATTCGCAAATGCTTTTAACTTGTTGGACCCGTACGTGCGAAGCAGGTAGGCAGCAACAACGCCGAAATCTGCAGTAGCGGTTTTCGAACTCTAGAAGTGGACTGGGAAAAAGGCAAGAAGGATTATATCTGTGGAATGTATAGTAATCACTCCCTTAAAAGCATTTGCGACCAGGGTATCGCATGCTCTCGACAGGAAAACACAGATTTACGAAGAACATATAAGTTCAGATTTTCTCAGGCAAGGAAGAAGGTTTCAGCGTGTAGATTGAGCAGAGATGGAGTGTGTTTATATATTAAGAGTATAAACACCCCATCCAATGAAACACTATAAAGAGGGAGAGCAAGGGAAGGAGTACAACACATATTCCAAGCACCTTCACAGTTTGTGATTAGTGTGCGGACAAGGTGGTCAAAACTCCTTAAAAATAGGGGTTAAAATAGACGTGCCGAACAAAATGTTGGTCAAAACTCCTTAAAAATAGGAGTTAAAATAGATGTGCGGAACAAAATGATGACCCCACCACACAAACCGAGCCGGGCAACGACGACGGCACGCGGGATCTCCCATTGTTTCCTCTTCATAACACTTCAAACTTTCTAAAATGAGTTGTAGTTTAAATAGTGAGAGATGTTGAGATAGCTAAGCAATGTGGGACAAAGCCTAGCTCTTAAATGTTCCAACAGTTTCTCTCCCGAATACTGATGGTGCGTGTATTCTGAACACGGGAGCTGTGGGAGGACTCATTATGCTTAGAAGCCTACATGCCATCAATGTAGGCAGATATTCAGTTAATCCTAAACTGAAAATCCTGAGTTGCCTAACAGATTAAGCCACTAACTGACTTAATCTTCCACTTGCACCACAACCACTTAATTAATACAATATATATTATAATATATTGTATTTAGGAAAAATACTTACAATAACGACTGGTATAAATCTCAATATTCAAGCTAGTATATCAATTGGTTGTAAAGGTAGGCAGAATGCTATCTGCTCTAAAGCAGTAAGTTATTAATTCAACTTAGCAACTTGAGAGAATTAATAAGTTGAATACTAATACAACGATAAGGTAGTAGAGTTAAATTTTACAAATGCAGGTTAAGTCGAATCTAGATGTTTAAAACAGAAAAGTATTATACTTGTGTTGGTAGTGCATTGATCTCAGCACACATAAAATGCTTGGGGAACAATCACTATTCAATAATGTAAAGCACTCAAAATACTTTATGGAGTTGAGAGATGCATATTTTTTTTATTTTTTTAAATACCCATGATTCTTTACAAGGTAGTATTTGTTCTATACGTTTTTAATCTTTTCAGCCTAAAGAATCAATGTCCCTATTACTGGGGTTCGATCCTGTGACTACCCATTTGAAATGATAACAACGGTTTTATCACGGTACATAATAGTGGGAAGAGATGCATATATACAACAAATTTGGGAGAACCATTTTTTAAAAACTTTTTACAAACTTCTTCAAGGGTTGCAACAAGAGGAAAAGTGTAAACAAAAATTAACCACTGATATTCTCTTAGTTAAGATTGATACGAAGTAGATAATATGAGGAAAGTTAATTTGCCTCAGCAAATGGAAGACAATGACTTAAAAGTTCAAATATTTATAACCAAAAAGTGGGAAATTCTAAATTGAAAATGGAAGGAAAAGCCATATATGTAGCTAGGATAGCCTCATACATTATATCCTTCTTCTTCTGACTCTTATCTGTATATTGCCATTCATCATACTCTTTGATCTTTTTCTTCCTCTTCTTGATACTGTCATTCATCATACTCTTCTTATTCTTTCTGATATTATTATGGAGTACATTTGTTAGTCCTTTCATATTTGCAAACCAACCTGCAGACAAATATCGTAAAAATTATTCTACATATATATATATATATATATATATATATATATATATATATATATATATATATATATATCTAAATCAAAATTGGGTCCTTTTGGTTTGGGCTCATATTAGTGTTTGAATATTAAATTGTATATTTTGAAAGCTCATATTCAAATTGTTTAAGTTATGCAATTTATTTGGGATATATGATTTATTTTAATTTTATGCATATTTGTTCTAAGCATAATATTCTGTTTTAAATTATGCAATTTTGTTATGCCTTTAGCAATGTAAACTTTGGGATGGAATTATATTAGTTCCTATTTAAGTTGGACTTATGCATAAATTTTAGTTGCGGTAATGCCTGAATTTAAGCACGTTTAGTCCATTAATTTAGTTCACCATTTAAGCTTTAATCATAGGTGAATCATACAGTTTTCTAGTGTATACCCTACAATTTTAGGTTCATACCCCCAAAGAGTTATACATTAAGTAAATATAAATTGGGGAGGCATACTAGTTTTATGACCATGACTTAAGAACGTCTTTTGCCACTAGTCTCCTTAAATTGATACTCTACCTAAGAAATTGGGTTTCAGTGAGACTTTATCTCTAACCACTTTTTTTGAGAGTATATTTAGATTTTCCCATCACAATCTGGTATAATCTGTTTGTTAAAATTTTAAGTATTCCTTGCCAATGTGATTTGATTTCAGTTCGTTAAAGAATAGCCCAAGCATCTTTAATTTACTGAAATCTCTTAAACTTCTCAATCTTGGTTAATTAAGGAATAGCTACAGCATATTCAACTACCAAAGATTGTTATGTTTTAATCACATAATGTTTAGACAAGGAATTGATAATTGTCTAGTGATCTTAAAATTGTAATTTTTTTGGGGAGTAGCCCCATCATCCTTAATCAGTTAAAATTATATATGAAGCGACTTATTTTGATCACATAAAGTTTTGGACATATCATTTTTGATTAATTGTATGTAATGTGATGGAATTTAGCCCACAGGAAATTTCGTTATATTTGTATGATTAATTATGATGAAATACTGGACTACGATCATAATTTAGCACACATGCAATTATGTATCGGAATGTAGTTTAATAGTTTTATCATGATGTAAACTTTAGATCATATTTCTTAATTTGCCCACAGGGATTAAGAAAATAACTTGATTTCTTTATTTTTATCATAATGGTTGTAATGAATCTTATTGAATAAATTTTAGTCTACACGTAAGTTTTATGTCACTTGATTATTCAACTCATTTGATAATTGTTTCATCATAAATACAATTTCAGTTGAATCTAATTTGAGTAAAACTTTAGCCCAAATGCAAGTTTTATGTCACTAGATTCTCCTGTCTATTTAGTAATTGTGAAAAATATTATCATAAGGGTTTAATTGGATTTAATAGATTTAAAACTTTAGCCTACAGACAAGTTTTATGTCAATAAATCCCTCAATCCATTAGATAATAATTTTATCACAATTCTTAGAATTTATAAATTTAGCTCAATTATAATTCTAAGTTTCATGGTTTGCAATGGCAAACCGAACCATGTATTCAATCACTTCCCAAAATTTAGCCACTTTTATTAATTGAACCAGGAAGCTTGCTTGATTCTTCGGACTAACTGTAGTAAGTTACATGATTTGACATGCCTTTTTTAAATTCCAATAATAATAAAATTTATCTTTTGAGCCAAATTCTAACTTGGTTATGAAAGATGTATTTTGTTTTTTTAGTATGTCCAATTATGGTGGAGAATTATATCTTCATTATTTTTTGAAAGCAGGAAATTCGAATATTATTATTGAATATGCGTAACAATAAAGTCAGGAGGGACATCATCCCATAACATGGTAATATCCTGGTCAGAGACCTTTGATGCTAGAGTATGAGCAATAATATTTAAACGTCTAGGAATAAAACATAAATAACATGTAATAAACTGAGCCATAATGGCTTGGCACTCACGAACAATAATACCAACATACGATCTAGGGTGCGAATCAACTCTGGAAAGATAAGACTTCAAGACCGAACAATCTGTGGATAGAGTTACCGAAGTAATCTGTCGATCCCTTAGCCAAGATAAAGCTTCTTTACAAGCTAGCGCTTCAGCCTTGATAGCATTCTCACATAACGGCAACCGACCATTCATAGCTGCTACAAAGATTCCCTGGTCGTCCAAGAGAACCACACCAAAGGCCGCAGCCCATGTCGACGAATTCCACACCGCATCTACGTGGCACTGCAGACCACTTGGCGCCGGAATCTGTTGCTGCTGTTGAACTAATTCTGCTGCTGGCCGAGACGCCCTCCAAGTCGAGAGGGCTGTTTTGGCACACAACCACAAGTGCTTGGGTGTCTTCATATACGCCTCCCATACCGCAGAGTTTCGTGCATTCCACAACTGATACAGAACTGCAACAACTTGAATAAGAACATCCATGGTTATCATAGTCATTGCGTTCTGAAACCATTCAACAAATGATCCACCATGCACAGAGGTAATAATAAGGCAAGATTCATTCCAGACATGGCAAGCATATTGACATTCTATTAAACAGTGCATAACATCCTCATTAAAATCAAGACACATGGGACATGCAAGATTCACATCAACTCTCCTACTAGCAAGGGCTGTTGTGGTTGGCAACACACCACTCAACGCTCTCCATAGGAACGTTTTCCACCTGGGGGCACATCCAACTTCCATAATGCTGACCATTTGTCAAAAGCCGTATAATTCTGTATCTCCCCCACAACCATACGAGATGCACTTTTAACAGAATACAATCCATTATGCTCCTTATACCAATACCATGAATCTTCATAGTCCGGGCAGAATGGCACCCTACGAATATGATTCACATCCTACGGGTCAAAAATATCATTTAAGATGTCCAGATCCCAAGTACGAGTATCCTGATCCATCAAACCTGTCACTTTTGACTCATAAATATTAGGTGGTAAATTAGTATGAATCTTATAATCCAAATCCAGAAGCCAGAGATCTTTACCAATTATAGTAGCCTTACCATTCCCAATCCTCCTCCTTATTTCACCACATACTAGACCATGTGCATCCATTATACTTCTCCAACAAATAGCTAGGATTATTTCCTATGGCAGCATTTATATCTTCATTATTTAGTTGGACTTTAATTGTAACAAAAAAAAAATTATTGAGTATGCCAAACTAGTGGGGAATTATATCTTCATTGTTTAATTGGTCAAATCAATTATGAGTATGTATATTAAGTTCATATTATTAATTTCGCTGAAGAATATCTTAATCAGTGGGAGTGATCGTTTCAAAAAAGATCATTAAGATACTCCACTAAAGATTATGGATTTAATTATTGTCTTCATACATCTTAAATTGGATTGTATGTCGAACAACAAGTCCAAAAGATTTCCCAAGTATTAATCTTATATTTGTTCTCATGAATTCATAAGTTCAAATTATTGAACGTTTTGTTGTGCAACATATTTATGAAAATGTTGTAACAATATTAAGGAATTTATTAGAATAAAAGCATTTAACTTGTGGTGCACTGTCATTTAATAAATTTTTCAGTGATTAATAGAGTCTTTAGTTTCTTCAAAATTGATCCTGGGCCATTTTGGTTTGTGAGGCTCAAGACAATTTTGTGAGACGTATAAGTATTGACTCATTATGTTCAGTTCGTTTAAAGTGGAAATTGATGTTATTTGGGAACTTATGGTGTGTGTTTAAGATTCCAAATTTATGGACTTAGACCTTTGGTTTATTGTCTAAGTTATTGGAATGCTATGACTTACTATCTATTGGCTATTTTGATGAGTGGGAGTGACAGACGTATCAACTCCAAACTCTTAGCCGTTAGAGGTAGTTCTTATGTTAACTTATAAAGAAGTCATAGAATATAGTTAGCATTATACTAACATTAAGAGATCTCTACTTAAGGCATGCTTCTAAGGTTTTAGATATAATGCAATGTACTATTTTGTACAATTTGGATGTGTTTCTCTTTCAGTTGTGCACATAATATATTTTGAGAAACATCCCTTAAGGTACCGAGAATAAACATTGGGTTTGTTCATAAAGGAACTAAGTTGAAGAATTAAAATGCATGTGACCATAATAGATACTACTCTGTTAAATAGAAGACATGTCATTATGATTCGTGTGTTTTGTTCTTTGATGAGGGTTGTGCTAGTTCTTGCACCAAGTGGGAGAATGTAAGATTTTCCTTAATATTATATATTATATATTAGGACCTTAATTAAATGGTGTTGACTAGGCTTATTAAGTGGTCTGGTTGGACTGAATAACTAGAAGTTGTTATTCAACCAGACTCTGTGCCAAATATAAACCTGGATTGATGGGATACTGGATATACATTGTATAGCACATTCAGTTACGGTGATACCAATACACTATCTAGAGTTCTAAGTCAAGTATGAGGCAACGGTCCACCGCTCCAAGAGGCAACACAACAAGAACAAAAAAAACTGTGGCCGGAGATCATCAAGGCGGGAGATCAACACGATTATCGCTTTCGCGAGGTCAGGTTTCTCGTATACTATTATTAGTATAGTTAGATTATTTATATCTAACAAACCATGCGTCCATTCATCTGCTCGTTTTCTCTCCTCCATGATTTGTGGTCTCAAATGAGCATTTTCTGGTTCAGGATCAGGCTCCAACTGCAAATTCTTTGGCTTCCTTGGGTTTACATGCTCACTTTTTCCATTTGTCTTCTCTATATTTCTCAGATTCATTTCCTACCACTCTTTTTGTCTTCTCTATATTTCTCAGATTCATTTGCAGTTGAATTACTGGTTTTGTATCGTGGCAAGGAACAAATAAAAAAATTAACAAATTAACAAACTATTTACTCAAAAACTATCGTCATTTGGTAATTTGCGAATTTTAAAATAATTAGTTTGTATCGTGAATTGGTGATCTACGAATTTTAAACAAATTAACAAATTATTTTATTTAAAAAAAAAAAAACAAATTATTTTGGTTTTTATTTATTGAAAATTAAAAAATTAATTTAAAAATAAATTATTTTTAAAAAAATGTCACCATATATGCATTCTAGGTGGAGGTGTAACCTGTTAAAAATCTGAAAAACTTGAAAATTTGAGTAATTGCATTAATAAGTTGAATACTAATACAACAGTAAGGTAGTAGAGTTAAATTTTACAAATGCAGATTAAGTCGAATCCAGATGTTTAAAACGGAAAAGTATTATAATTGTGTTGGTAGTGCATTGATATCAGCACACATAAAATGCTTGGGGAACAATCACTATTCAATAATGTAAAGCACTCAAAATACTTTATGGAGTTGAGAGATGCATATAATTTTTTTTTTTTAAATACTCATGATTCTTTACAAGGTAGTATTTGTTTTATACGTTTTTAATTTTTTCAGCCCAAAGAATTCATGTCCTACTACTGGGGTTCGATCCTGTGACTACCCATTTGAAATGATAACAACGGTTTTATCACAGTACATAGTAGTGGGCAGAGATGCATATATACAACAAATTTGGGAGAACATTTTTTAAAAACTTTTTACAAACTTCTTCAAGGGTTGCAACAAGAGGAAAAGTGTAAACAAAAATTAACCACTGATACTCTCTTAGTTAAGATTGATACAAAGTAGATAATATGAGGAAAGTTAATTTGCCTCAGCAAATGGAAGACAATGAGTTCAAATATATATAACAAAAAAGTGGGAAATTCTAAATTGAAAATGGAAGGCAAAGCCATATGTAGCTAGGATAGCCTCATACATCATATCCTTCTTCTTCTGACTCTTATCTGTATATTGCCATTCATCATACTCTTTGATCTTTTTCTTCCTCTTCTTGATACTGTCATTCATCATACTCTTCTTATTCTAGCTTCCTGATATTATTATGGAGTACATTTGTTAGTCCCTTCATATTTGCAAACCAACCAGACAAATATTGTAAAAATGATCCAAAATGAATAAAATAAATAAATATATATATATATATATATATATATATATATATGTATATATATATATATATATGTATATATATATATATATATATATATATATATATATATGAGTAAATACCACCCAAGGTCCCTCGAGTTTGGTGGTTTCACCACCTATAGTCCCTAACTTTCGTAATTACCATCCGTGGTCCTCGGAGTTGCGAAATTTGACCAGTTGCCGTCCTTCCATTAATTCCTTCCATCTAAGCCGTCAAAGTGGGGGTAAATTTGTCATTTTCCATACTGATTCCTCTCCCAGTTCATCACCTCATCTTCTATCAACGCCCCATTTCAAGAAGAACCCAATTCGTAGATTCTGACGATCAACATCTTTTTGCTCGTTCTCACCCCTGTACTCAACGTCTTCAATTTCTGACGCTTCAGCCTCCTGTACTCTTCATAACTCAAGCCTTTCAGCTCCTCATCCAATTCCGACTTAGTCTATAATCTCCATTGTTGTAGCCTTTCCTTCGATCTCCCAAACGTTCGAATTTGTAGGGTTCATAATTAGGGCTTCGTCGATTGCTCGAACGGTAAGGAGAATAGGACCGCTGGTCACGACGGTTATTATGAGAGGAAGGCTCATACCTTGAGTTGTCTGGACTATGGCTACGACTCCTGCTGCCGCTGATACTGCGACTCTGGCTTCGGCTAGAGCTACGGCTGTGATTCCGATAACGACGGCGATACGAATCGGATTCTAGATAGTACCGGCCACGGTCGCGGCCACTATCTCTGTGGCTCCGACGCCGTTCTTCTGGGATTTCAATCGCAGAGGTTAGTCGACCCATTTCACGATAGGCTTTGACGAGGAAGGGGAAAATGGCACTGGTTTTGGAGACGACGATGAAAACCGCTAGAGATCAATTGTGCCCAAACGAATGGCGGTGGCCCAGTATTATCACACCCTCATAATTGAGCTTAAGTTATGGCCTTTTGGTGAGTACCAGTCATATTATAACATCTTTGCCGTCGACTAAAAGGGTGTCAGCCGCCGGAAACAGAGGGTGTCGGCTTCCCCCAGCTTTACCGGCGAGGTTTTTCCGATGTCAATGTTGCAAATCGAAACGGCTTCTTCATTGGCAATTGATCCTCTGACTTTTCTCACTCTCTCTTTACATGAAATAGCCAACAACTAGCTCGCACGGGTAACTCAATATGGGCAGGCAAAATTTCACCCCAAGATACAATCTTTTCACCCGTAGGTGATGAAACTATCATCCAGATTTTCCAATGAAAGTGAAAATTCAGATTTTATACATTTTTTTCTTCAAGATGAGGGTCTTACTGGGCAGCCATGATTGGGGGCCTGGTTTAGGTGGAATTCCCAGGACTCCATTGAATCTACCTCCACAACCTTGATTTACTCTGTTGTTCGTGGACATCCATTCTTCATCTCCTTTGGGCTCTTCAATTCTTAGAGGCTAATACTATAATCAGAAAAATGATTAACGCAATCTTTACATAATTTACTAAACCAGTTGGGCCCCACTGTTTGCTCAGATCACTGATATTTTTGTGTGAATTCAAATATGAATCAAATCACTAATATTTGCCCTTACAAAATAATAAGCAAAGAGAAATTACTATTCCACCCTTGTTTTAGACGGTGCAAACGGAAGGAACTAACGGAAGGACAACAAAAGGTAAGATTTCGCAACTCGGAGGACCACGGATGGAAATTACAAAAGTTAGGGACTA